CAGGCGCTCAAAACACTTTATGATTCCGGAGGGCGGTGGAGTGGAGGCGGAACAGGGGGAGGGATGGAGGGCCAGGTCCACATGGAAATGGAGAGACCAGGAACCGAGGCAGAACCAGCGGAGTGGAGAGCCAGGGCAAAGCCGGCCGTACAGGTGGAGCAGAGAACCACCAGAGCCAGACAGTAGACCACCACGGCGGAGCAGAGGACCCCCACGGCGGGGCGGAGGACCCCCATGGCAGAGCAGAGGACCACCAGAGCCAGACAGACCACCACGGCGGAGCAGAAGGAACAGGGAACCTCCCCCGCTGAACCACACCGATCAGGAGACCATGGTGGAGACTGTAATAACGAAGAAGCAGAGACAGACAACACAGACAGAACATTGGGGTTGACAGATAAGGCTCGGTGTTCAGAGGCAGCCTCCTTGGCTGGGTCGGGACAGGACAAAAGTTCACAAACGGCCTCCATAGCCATGACAGGACAGGATGAGGCCGTGACAGGACGAGCAGGGAGCTCGCAAATGGCCTCTAACTTGACTTGACTCATGACGATCAACTGTGACTAGACTTGACTCAAGATGATCAACAGTGACTTGACTGAACTCAGGAAGATCAGCTGTGACTTGACTGAACTCCGGAAGATCCGCTGTGACTAGACCTGACTTATGATAATGAACTGTAACTTGACTTGACTCATTATGATCAACTGTGACTAGACTTGACTCAGGAAGATCAGCTGTGACTAGACTTGACTCATGACGAACAACTGTGACTTGACTCATGAATATCAGCTGTGATTTGACCAGACTCACAAAGATCTACTGTGAGTTGACTTGACTCAGGAGGATCAATGGTGACTTGACTGGACTCAAGATGGGCAGCTGTGACATGACTGGGTGCTGTTGTGTCCGCCATCTTGTGAGCGTCCTCCGCTGTTGCCGCCATTTTGTGAGCGTGCTCTAGTGTGGCCGCTATTACATGAGTGAGTGCGGAGTCGTGCTCCTCCGCGATACCCACAGTGAACGCTGAACCAACCGTCGACAAAGCATAGTCCATACACTGACTTAAAGATGAACGTGGACCCTCGTAAATGAGTTTGGATTTTAACGGTTGATTAATGCCCTCATAAAAAAAGTCTATCAAAACACAGTCCGGCAGATCTGAATAATGAGCGATGGCTAAATATTCTTGAATATAGCCCTCCAGCGATCGTGTGCCCTGTCTAAGGGCTAACAATATTCTTCCTGTATCCATGCCTGACCAATGTCCATCCGAGAAGCTGCTAGATCCTTGTGTGGCCGAGTATTCTGTTACGGGGCTGACAAGACGTGAGACGTGTGGATCCATGTGCAAGCTTTATTCTGAACAGAAGACAGAGACGTGGTTGTAACAGGCAGGTTCAAGGCGAGGCAAGTCAAGGCAAATGTGAAACAGCTGTGTGCAATCAGTGAAAACAGCTGCGTGCAATCCGTGCTGAGTGCAATCAGTGCAATGAATGATGGGATATGTAGTCCGGGATGATAAGCAACAGTAGTGTAGTGCGAGAGTCAATGTAATGGAAAGGGTGACCTCTGATGGTAAGCAGACAGAAGTTCATGGACCGGATGCGTGACACTGTATATGACAGTCCCAGTCATAGTTATTAGTATTCTGCATTGTTGTTTGTCCTGCTCGCGCTGCGCGCTGAAGAGAAAATCACCGTAGTACTACAATGAAGCGCTTTACTGCAGCACAACTCAACCAAATGCATCATATACGAGATAAATAATATATACATGATATATATAAACTGGCTGAAATGTTTTTAAATAACTTGTACCCTACCTGATTGAAAAAATCCAGTCTTTCACTCTGCCTGTGTCAATTTAAGTCTTGTTAAAGTTTTAAATCCCTGCCACCAAGATGCTCCTCTGTCGGTCACGCGTTATGGAAAGTGAAACTTAAATCTGTAGGGGTGGTTGGATTTATTCACACACGTTAAAGTATTTATTTGAAGCTTCTTTCTTTTCAGATTGTTATTTACAGCATTATCTTAATAGGCTGTATAGTAACTTGTTGGGAGAAAACCGGTAGTTCTATGTGAAATCAGACATTTGAGCACTCCCATATAGCCAAAATGGCATGATCATAACACCCGGTGAATATTCGACTGTCCCTGCGTTCCATTCGGAAGGGCTCATCTCTATGCCCTAATCCCTTCAAAGGGTTTACCCAGCGGAGTGAGAGCTTTGAATGTTTGAAGGGTGTAGGGGACCAAACAACGGTTTCTTGAAGTGCCCCTTGAAGTGCCCCATCATTCCGTGCCCACATGGAGGCGCCGTCATCATGGAAAGAATCAGCACAAAGGATCATGGGGGACCAAAGTGTCCATCAGTTGTACCCTTCGAAATCCTTCATTCGGAAGGGCCCTTTGAAATGGCCAGTTTTGAGCACTTCGGTTTGGAACAACCCTTCAATATGGCGGCCATGATTGTTTTCACTCCGAAGTGCCCTTCAGAGGGTGATATATCCCGTTTGGAACGCACTGTGTGAGATTGGTAGTCGAATCAGGCTCCTCCTATCGAAGCATCGAATCTTCGACTATTCGGGGTCACCCCTAATTCAGTGACCGTAAAGACATTTATAATATTACAACAGATTTCTGTTTCGAATAAATGCTGTTCTTTTGAACTTTCTATTTATAAAAGAAACCTGAAAATCACGATATCATGGTTTCCACAAATATATGAATCAGCACAAGTGTTTTCAACATTGATAATATTTAGAAATGTTTCTTGAGGAGCAAATCAGCATATTAGAATGATTTCTTAAGGATCATGTGACACTGAAGGCTGGTGTAATGACGCTGAAAATTCAGCTTTGATCACAGGAATAAATTAAATTTTACAGTATATTCACATGGAAAACAGTTATTTTAAAATGTAATAATATTTTTTAATTAGTTTACTGTATTTTTGATCAAATAAATGCAGCCCTGGTGAGCAAAAGAGACTTAATTCAGAAATATTAAACATCTGTCTGACCCTTTCAGCAAGTCTTTATTCCTGCTCGTTCAGATCTGTATCATCTGATAATGAAGATGTACATATTGCTGTCTTCCTCTCCTCTCTGTGTCTGTGTTCAGGGAGGCCTGTATGTGTTTCAGATCTATGATCATTTCTCCTGCAGTGGAGCCAGTCTGCTGCTGCTGTCTGTCTGCCAGTCTGTGGCCATCGGATGGATCTACAGTATACACACATACTCTCATATACGCATACACTCATAAACACATACGCATTAAATACTCAGACAAACTCACGCACACACATTAATATATCAGTATCAATAGCTGCTTTAAATAGTTCACTGACAATCTGATAAAATATAAGGGACCTTAAGGGACAGCATGTATTCATAAGATACAATAACAGTCGAGATCACATTTACAGTAATGACGATAAGTGCAGTAATTATTGCAGTAATGATATTTTGCAGGAAAAATGTGCTTAATAATGTCACAATGCTCTTAATATAATGTCTTATTTTCTACATATATTATATACATACATTAATATTTTCATATAGTGGTTATATATACCATTATATATTATATATATATACGCTTTGGATAAAAGCGTCTGCTAAATGACTAAAAGTAAAGTAAAAGTAAAGTAAATATATAATATATAATTATATATGAATTAAATATGAGAGTGTATGTGTGTAAACTTGTATTTATATTTTTTATATTTATATGTATGTTTCTATCTATCTATCTATCTATCTATCTATCTATCTATCTATCTATCTATCTATCTATCTATCTATCTATCTATCTATCTATCTTCCAGGGAAAATGTGCTTAATGTCAATGGTCCTAAAAACAAAAATATGATGTATTTTTTTGGTTACACTTTTTTTAATGTGTCCTTGTTACAGTGTGATTATGCATTTAAGTACTGAGTAATATTAATTAACTACATGAACTTACTATAAAGTTAGGGTTAGGATTAGGGTTTGGCTTGTATAGTTTAGATTAATAGAGCCCTGCATGGGCCCGACCCTTGTCCAACATCTTATGAGAATTCTCGGCCCAAGTCCGACTGGATCCCGTGTCTTTTTTTTTCTCTCTCTTCCCCATTACACAGCTATTAAAATAGTTCCGTTTTGGTTTTTAATGGCAAAGTTGACATTTATTTTTGTTTCTTTATTAAGTTAATTTAGAAATATGTTTGGAACATTTTATGTTTGTTAAATTCAAGTTTTTGTTTTTTAAAGGAATGATCAAGCAGCGGTTGCAGACAGTGCGTTGAGCATTATGTTTGATCAATTTAGCCTTCTCTAACCAACACGACTTGCCTTAAATAACAGACATAAAACACTTCATGCATTTCACAGTATTAATTTAAACATTTAACCTAGATAAATGAGCGTTGTTAGGCGCATATCCAATCGTTTGTGTGGAGAGTCGAAGCTAAAGCGCGCTTTGCAGGACATGGAGGCGCCAGTGCGATCACTTGCATTTTTTTAATAACAGTGGAAACTCAAAAATACGCCGTCATGTTTGCTCATAAAGGTAATAGTCAGTGTTGGGGAAAGTTACTTTTAAAAGTAATGCGTTACAATATTGCGTTACTCCATAAAAAAAGTAACTAATTACGTTACTTAGTTACTTTTTATGGAAAGTAATGCGTTACGTTACTTTTGCGTTACTTTTTAAATCTGGACAGGGCTTGCTTGTTTGTTTTTAAAATAAAAAAGTTATATTTTTGGCAAATATAAAAGCCTTTTCACACCAAAAGTGAAATGAATAAGCCTCAGGCTGAAGGGAAAGTAAATTTACATCCGTACAGTAGAATGCAGAAGAAGACATTTCAACACACTTCAGCAATAAAAAAAGACACAAATGTTTGTCTAGAGTAATTTGTGCTTATTAATACGGTTGAACTGGATCATCGAAGGCCAGAAGCAAAGACATTGATTAATAGAACGGGATTAAATACATAAAAGATATTTGTGTTGTTTAATATTTAATTATTGCAGGTTTGCATCATATTCTTAGTTGCATTATTTTTATTCATTTTGAGGAATACTGAATCTGTGTTTTTTGTGAGTGAGATGAATTAATGCATATTCATATTTATTTTAGAACTACAGTAACACCTTCTGATTTCTGTCACCATGGCGAAGCCAGAGCTGTCAATCAATAAATTGGAAAAAAAGTAACTTGCGTTACTTATTTGAAAAAGTAACTCAGACATTCTCTTGTAAATTAAAAAGTAATGCGTTACTTTACTAGTTACTTGGAAAAAGTAATCTGATTACGTAACTTGCGTTACTTGTAATGCGTTACCCCCAACACTGGTAATAGTATACATCATTCGGAACTGCAAAGGGTCTACTTGTATTTGTGTGCAATCACAATATAAACAAAACCTTGTGCTATTGTAAAATAAGGAAAACAAACAGGATGCGCTTTCTGTCCTCTTGGTCTTGAGCAGGAGCGCTTCACTGACATGATAAATATATCTATAGAATTTTAAAACAAAATCATTCAAATCGAAAACAAAAACTCTTTCATTATGTAATCCGTAAAGATGCATTTCTCTCTAAAAGCACGTCCAGTGAGGAGATGGCGAGTCAGGTTTGTCAAATTCATTTTTGCAACATTGACTCAGAAAACATTAGTTTATTAACAAATTCAAATATCCCCTCACTTTTTTTTGTTTGTTTTTTATTTATTTTTGTTTGTTTTTTTGGGCTGCTGTGCCAAAATTGTGTTTGCATTCAGTAGCCTATACGGCAGCATTTTTGTTCCACGTTGAAAAATAACTAAATAAATAAGATTAACGTCATAATATTTTAAGAATAAAGTCAAAATTACGATAATAAAATCATGTTATATTGCGTGAAGTTAATGTGAAAATTCCACCAAAAAAGTCGGTGGCATCCGTCATTCTTTTGACTTATTTTAAAACTCTGATTGATCGATTCATGACATTCGTTTGAATTCAATTGTTCAGATTTTTTTCAACATGCATTAAAATATTCATGTTTACTTCGTGCTGCAAATATTAAAGAGGAAAATATCATTTTTAAATATAATAAAGGCGAATTATCTCACTACAAATTAAAAAGCGTAAAAACACGTTTATAGTTTATATTTTATCATAGAATTGACAGAAGGCTGAGATTTTGTAGTAACAAAGCACAAAGCTGCAATTATTGAGTGGCTTGCATGCTACAAATAATGAATGGACTTGAAAACTTTAAACATAATTTCCAAGTATTAGACTATACCGTAAATAAAACAGCTTGTGAATAGTCACGATTCACATAACGTTTACTTCAGAAAAATCAACAATAGGGCCTAAGATAAGTTAACCAAGTTGGAGCCCATAACGTTTGGGGGCGCCCATACAAATGTTTTGCATATGGGCCCGGGGCTGATTCGCTACGCCACTAGTTACTTGCATGTAATTATGCATATTTAATTGTTGTTATAATAGTAAGTACATGTAACATGTGTAACAAGGACACCTTAAAGGGGTCATATGATGCTGCTAAAAAGAACATTACTTTGTGTATTTGGTGTAATGAAATGTGTTTATGTAGTTTAAGGTTCAAAAAAACCCCATTATTTTCCACATACTGTACATTAGTATTTCTCCTCTATGCCCCGCCTTTCTGAAACGCATAGATTTTTACAAAGCTCATCGGTCTGAAAAGCGAGGTGTGCTCTGATTGGCCAGCTATCCAGAGCATTGTGATTGGCCGAATACCTCAAGCGTGTGATGGAAATGTTATGCCCCTTACCATATTGTGCCATGCCCGGCCGCTCAATATTTGGGTTGAAGTGTTCTGGAACAGTGTTGTAAATACAACTTAACCAATGATTTCTAGTCGTGTCCTCTTTTGGAAGGTCAAACAAAGTAGTTTCGTTTTCACAACGAAACAGCATCACACACTGCGCGGCCTTGAGTGAGCGGAGGCCAGAGGCCTAGAGTGAGCAGAGGCCGGCTTGAGTGAACAGAGGCAGGCAGGCTTGAGAACGGCGCAGCCGGCAGATTCGACGAAGGAGCATCCGGCGGGCTTGCGTCAACCACATGTGACGACCCTGGGCTGGACTCTGCTTCATCCATGGTGAAAGCTGATCCGGCGATCCACAGCGCAAAGTTGATGTATTTCCTCAGCGACCAGCATGGATCAGCTCCAGGCATGACAAAGCGAATATCGTCCTCTTTTGGAAGGCCAAACAAAGTAGTTCCTCTTCAGGAACTCGAGCTGCGTCGAAAACGCTTGGACGCAGCGTCGAGGTCGAGGTCGAGGTCAATCCTCACTACAGTCAAGAGAGTGAAAGAAGGCCAGTCACTCACTGTCAAGCAGTTTCAAAGACTGCTGGGTCTGATGGCAGCTGCGTCCAACATGATTACTCTTGGCCTGCTGTACATGAGACCCCTACAGTGGTGGCTCAAGACCAGGGGGTTCTCCCCCCGAGGGGAAACCCGCTTCGCATGTTCAAGGTCACGCGGAGATGCCTACGTGCCTTAGACATGTCATATGCATATCATGGCATATCATCATCCAGCTCCGCTGGGGCTGGATGCCATGGTACAGGCGTGGCCGAGGCTTCGCCTGTACGCCTTTCCCCCGATCGCTCTGCTCCCAGGAGTTCTGGAGAGAGTGTGCCAGGACGGAGTCTGCTTACTGTTAGTAGCCCCGTTCTGGCCGGGCCAAGTGTGGTTCTCGGACCTGATTTCCCTTCTTGACGGCTCTCCATGGGAGATTCCCGTCAGGAGGGACCTCCTCTCACAGGCGGAGGGCACGATATTTCACCCCCGCCCGGAGCTGTGGAAGTTATGGTTGTGGCCCCTGAGGGGGCACAACTAGTAGCTTCCGGTCTCTCAACTGAGGTTGTTGAGACCATCCTCCAATCCAGAGCTCCCTCCACGAGGAAACTGTACGCTTGGAAGTGGAAACTTTTCACTTCCTGGTGCAGAGACCTCCAGCTCGACCCAGCTAGCTGCCAGTTGGTACAGTACTGGAGTTCCTGCAGTTTTCTACAGGGTTAACCCACTCCACCTTGAAGGTCTACGTGGCGGCCATTGCGGCCTACCACGCCCCTCTTGGTGGCATTTCAGTGGGGAGACACTCAGCACCACAGCCCATTGTACTTCAGGCCTTCAGTCCTCCTCCCTTCAGGGAACCAGACCAGCAGAAGCTTTAACTGTACGTCCACAGAGCTGCCCTGTGGAGGAGGGCGGACCAGTTGCTTGTGTGCTACGGTCCCCCTAAGAGAGGTCTTCCAGCAACTAAGCAGACCCTCAGTCGGTGGATAGTGGATGCCATCTCCTTATGTTATGAGTCCTCTGACCTCCCCTCGCAGTTAGGGGTCAAGGCTCACTCGACTCGAAGTGTGGCAGCATCTAAGGCTTTCTTAGCGGGTGTGCCTATGCAGGACATCTGCAACGCTGCGGGTTGGTCCACGCCCCTTACCTTTGTTAGGTTTTATGAGCTAGACATGCGAGCCACTCCCGGCTCTTCCATTCTCTCGCCCTAGTTGTGCAGTATTCCACACTAGGCAGAGACTTGGAAGTCTGGCGGTGTGTGCATTCTCATTCCCCTAGCGTTTTCGACGCAGCTCGAGTTCCTGAAGAGGAACGTCTCAGGTTACATATGTAACCCTAGTTCCTCGAGAGAACGAGACGCTGCGTCTCGGTGCCATACTTCCAGCATCCCTGCCGGCTCTTGCTTCATTCCAAGAAGCTGACGCTGGCTCCGCCGCACGTGCTTTTATAGCTTCCTGGTCATGACGTCATCCGCCGTGACATCCTGTTCAGCTATTGGACTGATTTTACATGTGATTCAGAGCGTGGGTCGCAGAAGGCGTTCCCCTAGCGTTTTCGATGCAGCTCGAGTTCCTGAAGAGGAACTAGGGTTACATACGTAACCTGAGACGTTTCGCTTTCACAAGGAAACACACAGCGCCTTCACAAGATGGCGGCAGCAACAACAATACTACAGCGAGAATAAAAGTTACGCCTTCTTTCTTTGCGTGAACATTTGGGTGGCGTTATGCAAATCTTCCCACATTGGGAGGTAGACATGTGGGGGCATGTTGGAACGAGCCGTTTTAGGTAGGCGTGGTTGACTCTTAACTTTTATAAAGAATATCTCTTTGGATTTGAGACTTTAGTCTTTGCAACTTTACAGATCTTCTTTATGCACCAAGAGCTTGTAACACTCCAAAGTGAAAGAAAAAATTGAAATCGCATCATATGACCCCTTTAAAATAAAGTGTTACCTCTTTTTTTTTATTTTGGGATGATATGGACATGGACACTTCCATGAGCTGATCTTCTGCTGTTTTCAGGTGCAGATCGCTTCAGTAACAATATTAAGGCCATGATTGGTTACCAGCCGCTCTGCATCTTCAGGCTGTGCTGGCGTTACCTGACTCCCGCCATGTGCATTGTGGGTCACTCGATCTGGACACTGATAGCAGATGCTGATTGATCGTCAGCATCCTCTGAGAACATCTCTGTGTGTGTTCAGGGCACATTCGGGTTCTCGCTCATGTTCTGGTCTCCGCTGACCCTCGCCAACGGTGTGACGGCCCCTGTATGGGCCACGGTGATGGGCTGGACGCTGACGCTGTCCTCTGTGTCTCTTCTGCCTCTCTGGGCCATCTACAGCCTCATGAATACGCCAGGAACCCTTCAACAGGTAAAAAAAAATCCACTTTACCATGTTAAAATCCATGATATAATGATATAAACCTTTCCCTACCATTGCATTAAACTTAAAAAAACTAAACTACTAATAATCCTAAAGACAAATTCATCAATCAGAGAAGTTGCTGTTATTATGGAAACCGCCTACTCTCATGAAGCATCGCGGTAGTAGAGTCTTTCTTGCTTCACTCCAGTGTTGTTAATTGTTACCTACAATTAAAACTATTAAAATATGTTATTGTTAATTGAAGCTGAAATAAAATATAAATTTGAAAATTAGAAATGTTCCCTTGGCAACTAACTGAAATAAGTTTGAGTTAAAAATTACACACACATATGTATATGTATGTATGTGTTGTGTATGTATGCATATGTATATTATATATATATATATTGTAACACAGTTCGTAGATTGGGAAGAAGGAGGTGGGAACCGGCGAACATTTAAACAATTTAATAACAAAATAAACACAAAACTGAAAATAGAGCGACAGCCCCTCACGGACGACTGCCGTGCACAAACAGAACCAAAACAACAACAAAGTCCAGGCCTGGTCCACTCTTGTCTTGCACTGTCATCACCCCTCCTTTTATCCTTCTGGAGCTCCTCCATGGGACTCGAGCCCGGCCTCGCTCCGTTCCCCCGGCTCTCGGCCCTGCCCCACTCATCAGATATATATATATATATATATATGCAAAAGCGTCGACGTGGCATCTGAAATTTTCTTCTAAAATGAGCATTTTTATCAGCCTCCTATTTTTATGTGTAGTTATTTCACTTTAATGGCAACGAAAAAGACCGATATTCATTGCCAATGAAGTGAAATTACTGAATATATATATGCAGTCACTGTCAGAATTATTGGAACACTTGGTAAATATAATCAAAGAAGGCTGTGAAAATAAATCTGTATTGTTTATACTTTTGATCTTTAATTTAAAAAAATTGTAGCACGCCAGGGTGACTATGAACATGAAATTGTCGAGCCATGACTTCCTGTTTCACAGGACTATAAATATGAGGGAACCCAAAGGCCAAATTCCCTTAGTCATCAATCACAAGGAGTAAATCCAAAGAATATATTTATGATCTGCAGCAAATGATTGTTGAGCTTCACAAAATAGAAAGTGGCTATAAGAAAATATCTAAAGCACTGAAAATTCCCATTTCCACCATCAGCACAATAATTAAGAAGTCTCAATCAACAGGAAATGTTACAAATCTGCCTGGAAGATAATGTGTGTCTATATTCTCTTAAAGTAATGTGAGGAGGATAGTTTGAGTGGCCAAAGACTCTCCTAGGATCACAGCTGGAGAATTGCAGAAAATAGATGAGTCTTGGGGTCAGAAAGCCTCCAAATAAATAAATAAATCAAACAGCACCTACAATACCACAAGTTGTTTGGGAGGATTTCAAGAAACAATAGCAAACATTCATAAAGAAACTCCAGCATATTAATTTGTCAGACATTACTGGAATATCTCATTGGACTGGATTCTTTGGTCAGATGAAAGTAAATAAATGCTTTCTGGCAGCAAACACACAAGATGGGTTTGGTACACACAGGGCTAGAAAAGTACACCATGTGTACAATGAAATATAACGCTGTATCTTTAATGTTGTGGGCCTATTTTTCTGCCAGAGGTCCTGAACATCATGGATTTTAGCAAACAGCAACAGATAAAAAAAAATCAAAACCTGACTATCCCTGTTAGAAATCTTATTCTGGCCAGTGTTTGGATCTTCCAGCAGAACAATGATCCAAGGAAAAACAACATTAAAATTAAAAGAAAAATGGGTCACTGGACACAAAACTAAGGTTCTCCCATAGACATCCCAGTCCTCTGATCTGAACCCTATAGAAAATAAGTGCAGTGAACTTAAAGGGGTCATGAATTGAGAAATGTTGAGGTCATTGTACTATAAAAACATTGTAATGAGTGGGGCGGGGCCGACAGCCGTGGGAACGGAGCGAGGCCGGTGGAATAAATGATAATGAGCAACACCTGCCCCACTCACCAGTCTTGAGTCCCAAGGAGGAGATCCGGAAGGATAAAAAGAGGAGTGACGACAGTGAAGGACGAGAGAGGACCAGGCCTGGACTACTTATGTTGTTGTTTTATTATGTTTTATGCAGCAGTCGTCCATGAGGGGCTGCCGCTTTTACTTTTGTTTTGTGTTTGTTTATTTCATAATTAAAGTTTTATGTTTAAATGTTTGCAGGTTCCCACCTCCTTCTTCCCCGATCTACGAACTTTGTTACAAACATTCTGTACGTTTCAGAGCTCCAAACTTCTTTTTTAGTCCAAAAACAGCTTTTATTGAAACCAAGATTTTAAAAAAAAATTTGTTTCAGATTTTGTCACATTATGATGTAATGCAACGAAAGAGCACCTCTGCAAAATCAGATGATCGCCTACTTCTACATCATCACATCTTTGGCCCGCCCACTGGAGCATTAGAGAGATGAGAATGAGATAAGATCAATACAAGCTCACTGGACTAAAAATAACATTAGGCTTGTTCGACTTCATGCTGCGCCACAAAGATCGATTGCCGCCTGACAAAAGCAATGCATTCTGGTTAGAACATTTGTCTGACTTTGATCGGCGCTGCAGCCGCCTTACGATCACATGTGCCATCAAAGTACCGCGAGAGCAAAACGAGACCAGCCGCCGAGGTCAGGCACTGGAGTTGCTCAAAATTGGCTGCGAAAGCCTTGATTACGACACACTTTATTCTCATTGGTTAGATTCTGTGATGACAAGCACAACGTGTGTTGCGTGTTTATTCTAACAATTCAATTCCAATAGTGCTCACAAATCTGTGTTTTTATAACAGTAAAAGTCGCACTGTTATCTTGAGTCATTTTTTATCAAAAACACTAATAAAAGCATATACTTTATTATATAGGTATTTAGTAGCCTATATGTTTACATGCTGAACTTTATTCTTGAACAGATGGCACTGTATAAAGCAGTATATAAAAAGTGTTTATGTTGGTTATAAAAACGTTTCTGTGTATTTGACAAATATTGCTTTAATTCACTTTATCTGTGATACGACTATGCAAACACCGTGAGAGCGTGACTACCGGGAGCAGAAAGTGTCCGACTTGACGTCTCCGCTTTTAATTCCGCCCTGACTGCAAGTGGCTACTCTCGCCAGCCGGTGGCAGGCTAGTATAGTTCATCTCGAACAAGCCTATTATCTTCCAAAGGATCCCAATCCCAGGAAAGTGCTTATTTATTCTCAACTATGTGGATGTCTCAGAAGAGCATTATTTGTTTGTTTGGTGCATTTCACTGTGAATTCTTTGGTCAACCGAATTGCCTCGATACTATCGAGTATCGAAAAATGTCTTGTTGTTCGGTACCAAATTTCGATACCTAAGGGGTTAATCAAGGAAAAACATTAATGTTAGGTGTGTTCGACTTGATGCAGCGCTGCGCAGACCGATCAGTGTTTGACATTAAAGTAGCGCGAGAGCGATTCGAAAGCTTACAGAGCAATCTGCTCTCTATAGCTCTTGCGGTACTTTGATGTCATACACCGATCGGCCTACACAAAGTCTCTTTAAGACAAGTCATTTCACTTGGTGGCCATCTTTGTAACGCCTATCATCTTTGTAACAAGTGCAACTCCTATCTCTTTGAATGAGAAAACATCAAATTCTCCAAAACTGTTTATGATTAAACTTCAGATTTGAAATCACCAATGACATCTGACAACAACTGTCTCATAAATGTTGTTTCTTATGCTCCAGTACCATTAAAAAAAGCTTATTTTTCAGGCTAGACCAGCCAATGCGCATGTGCAGTCCTAAGCGCATGCCTCCAGAATGCTGACTATTTCTATAGTAACTGAGACTTCTAACGGCAGCTGCAGTGACACGATGACTTTACCGAATAGTGATTGGCTCTTTTTCTCAGAAGGCAGGGCTTCATTCGATAGAGCAGCCATATTAAGCGTTGCATTTTCCCTATACGAGTGACACGTCTTGGGTATTCTATAGTCTTTGGCCTGCACAGCGCCCTGTCAAGTCGAACACACCTACTTTACGCCCAGAGACGTGGCTCACAAGTGAGGCTGTAGTGTGCTTAACCGTCCAACCCCATGTAGATTTAAGGCTACGTTTACACTAGTGTGTTTTCGTTTTAAAACAGCTTTTTAAAATGAAAGTATTCCTCGTCTATAGCGGCGTTTCAGAAAAGATATCCACCCATACTGCACAACCGAAAACCACCATCGAGTGTTTGTAATAACTTCAGATTGCGATCTAAAGTGTGATTTGGACAAGTAATGTTGCTGAAATATGTTATTTGTTGTCTTTTATATTGGGCTGATCACTACTGCTTAGCTTTTCTCATGTAAATGCCCTGTATTGTTATGATAGGCAGAATCTCATGAAAATTACATACAAATCATATACAGTACTGTCGTAATCGTGTGTTTCCCTATCGATACTTCACTCGTAGTGCATCTGCTAAGACGCTGGCCCCGCTCCCTCATGCCTCGCTCTCTCCTCATAGGGAGGCTTCCTCCGTCCTCTTCTCCCAGCCAGACCAGCATCCCTCTGCGACTGCAAGCGACCTGGTCTCATTTGATGGGAGCGAGTGTGACTCACTGGACGACAGCATGTCGCTGGCAGCTTCAGACGCAGAGGATCTGTCAGGCTCGATCAACGACCCCACCCCTCAGCCACCTGGATGAGTGGTTCTGGCCAGGGAGCTGTCAGGCCCCTCGTCAACAAGCTTCACAATTCTTCCCGGAAGCATGTCAATACACAATCCTTCCATTCGGACTGTCCCTGGCTCCCCGCACTTTTACGAAGTGCATGGACGTGTCTCTTTTTCCTCTAAGATGGGAATCCGTGTTCTGAATTACCTCGACGACTGGCTCGTCTTAGCCCAGTCGGGGGGCGAGCTACTGTCTCACAGATCCTTTCTCCTCAGCCACTTAGAATGCCTGGGGCTCAGGGTCAATTTTT